CGTCCGGTGGGCCTAGCGGCTATCGGCCCTGTTTCTACCAACGTTCATGGACCTTTGAGTTCCAGTACGATTTCTTTGCAAAAGAAAACATTAGCTCCTCAATAATCTTTGCACATGCAAGCGATACGGCGTCTAGCTAAGTTACCATGGCTTCAAACGAGAACGAGTTATGCGCGGACACGATTGTGGCCCTCGGATTAACAGCTCATCCGGAGGCATGGCAGGCAGATACTGCCTCAGTCACGACTTCTGATGTCTCGTTATCAAACGCAGCTACTGAGCTTCTTCAAGGACTGTTCAGACAGGTATGTCACTCACAACTGGATTTCTCGACACCGACTCCAAGCATCATTAGTGCCTTAATTCATTGGAGGGGGGGTGGGGGGCAAAGAGCTTGACGCTGACAACGAAGTTTCACAGGCACAATTACTAGCATGTCTACAGTGGCTCAACGAGTTCCAGATCCTGGCATACGTCCCGTTGAGGACGAGGGTCGCCTACAACGACCTGGCCGATTTGACCGGTGTGCTTCCGCAGCAAATTCGGCGCATCGTGCGAACAACGGCGACAGCCGGTATCTTGTGCGAGCCGCATCCTGAAAGCGTAGCACATACTCCTCTATCAACCCTGCTGGTGAAGAAACCATCATTCCTGGATGCCGTGAATTTTACTGCCGAAACTGTAGTCCCCGCCTCACTGCGCATGGCAGAGGCCACTCGACTACAAATGCGACATCATAAAAAGGACGCCAGTCCATATCAGATTGCCACAAACTGCTCTCTCTCGCTAGCGGCTGCGTGTGAGAAAAATGCCAAGCTCCATCGCAGAGCAGTCGCTTTCCAGCGATTGATTACAAGTGGCGGAACGAGTGCCGTACTTAATATTCTTTCCTCCATTGATTTAGAGGGACTTGGAAAGGCCATAGTTGAGGTAAGGTTCTTCTTCTGAAGCTGGCTGCGAGGTGATAGTGTCTAACGAAACGATGGTGACAGGTGAATGCAGTTTCCACGGCGGTGGCGAAAGCACTCTACAGCCGCAGCCCATCTCTCTGGTTTGTGGTCCAGGTACGCGAGGGGATCAAGCAGACAGAGTCAAGACTTTCCTGGCAACGCGTGAACTCCTTAAGCTGGCTGAAGGTCCAGAGTCGCGTGGCCGGAACACCGCAAAACGAGTCGGACGCGGCTGTTTACCTGCTTCACCTCCCTGATCCCTACTTCTACGGCTCTTCGAGCGAGCATGCCGAGATTTGCGTGGCAGAACTCCGAGCCCACTTTGATCTGCTGCGGATAAACGACAAAGCTACTTTAATCCTTATCGCAGATGTTGTACCAGACACCTGTGGCTCCTCAGAAGCTGAAGCTCGGCTACAAGACTTGCTGCTGCTTCAGCTGGGACACGATGTAGTATTTGATTTGAAACGGCTCAAGGGGCTGATGGAGTTTGCCCGAGAGGATGCCGACAAAATTACGGTCGTCAAACAGCTTTCGTCTAGTCGTCATTCGTTGGTTGCGTTTTTGTTGCGGTCGAGTAAAATTTCGAGTTGATTGATTTAAGGTAGAAATACATCAAAAAAGTGAAGATTTCGCTGAGAATGAACTGATAGTATTGCCGAGTTGAAATATTACTACCACTCGTTCTCAAATCATCTCAGTTGTCTACTCATTATCTGACGTGTTCAGCATGGCTCAACGACACCCAAATGGGTTTCTTAAACCATACGCCCCAGATATTCTGGTCAAACCAGTCTCCATACATAAGGTCCGTTTCAAGTCCAAGATCAAAATGCCACAAAACCTTCGCCATTATCAAGCGGATCTCTGCACGCGCTAGGTTGCTACCAAGACAGTTCCTTGTCCCCATGCTCCAGGGCTGGTACACCGAACTGTTGTCCATTCTGAAGTCCAAGGGCGTATCCTTGAGCCAGCGCTCGGGACAAAACTCAGAAGCTCGGTAGAAGTTCTTGTGATCGAGGCACGCACCCATCATCGAAATACCGACACTCACCTATTGTAGCCAATTAATTGATTGTCAATGAGTTGAAGAACACATCTACACAATAAAAACAGGGGATGGCAGAAAATGTTGGAGAATAGAATGGACGTACATTCCCAGGAATGAATTTGCCACAAACGCTTGCGCCGCCCTCAGGCGGAACCCGCTGGCTATGAGTTGGGACAGGTGGGTAGAGCCGCAAGGTTTCCTGGAAAACGGCATCAAGGAAAGGTAGCTGGCCAACCGACAGCAGCGTGATCTCTTCTGCGGACTTGAACGATGACCGGATCTCCTGAACCAGCCGTTGCATGGCCTTGGGGTCGCTAAGAAGCAGGTACGACATGCCACACAACGTTGTCGCGCTCGTCTCTGAGCCCGCCAGAACCATGATGCTGGCATTATTAAGCATCTCCCCGTGGGTCATGCCCTCGCTCGCTGCCCTTGTATCATCGTCGTCGTTATTGTCATCGTTGGAACTCTTGATCAAGATGCGGTCCCAAAAGTCCCCGCGGTCAGTGCCGTGTCTAAGCCGCTCATTGACCTTTTCCTCAGAAAACTTGTAATTAGCTAACCTCTGTTTCCGGACAGCCTTGGAGATGAAAATGGGGACAAGAAAGTCCAGGCCGAACTCGTAGAAGACGCTGGACTGCATGGCAAATTTGACCGTCGACGATATGGCGGGGATCCACGCATGCAGCCTGCCGTTGCGGAGGGAGTGGAAGGACTCGCCCCATGCAAGGTCGCCAATGACGTCGAAAACTACCATGTTATACCACTTCGTGAGGTCAAGCTTCTCACCGGTCGAGGCGAACTTTGACAGGTTGTCAATCAAGAGTTCGACGTGCCCCATAATGAGCTTTTCCTGCTGCCGGAGCCCTCTTTCGGAAAAGGCGCCAGAGAGGAGGCGGCGATAGCGGGAGTGGTCTTGCTTGTTCGCGCCGAGGATGTGCTAGACGATGCACTTTATTAGTCCAACTGAATTAGAATATAGACATACCGTCGACTAGATGACGAACACTTTGCTTGTTCGGATTGCGCCTTTGGCGCCGAGGATCCTTTGGAAACTCTGGCCTGCCCGGGTGGTGCGCATAGATGTCGTTCCACGCTTGCGCGCTCGTGTAGCTCAGCTCGTCTGGCCGAACACGAACGACATCCCCGTATTTGAGATGGAGTTTTGCTTGAATATGCGTTCGCCTGCCTGTTATCTGGTGATAACACCAGGGGATACTGCTCATCCTCCATAACAAAGGGCCGGGATAGTCGCGTAGTGGGTGGAAGAACAGATTGTATATCGCAGTTCCCACCAAACACAAGAGCGCTGCTGCTGCAACGCCGACTGAGGCCAGAGTCAATCGGCTATTAATTAACGCTAGTCGAGCAACGAATAAATCCATTTTTGTGAGGGTATGGTGAAGTTATGCTGTTTTGAGCGGCTGCCAGTTGCGTGACTCAAGAACGTCAGTAAATTCCTGTTGATTGTAGTACGCCTGGCCCAGTCGATGCTCAAGTATCAATATATTTTTCTCAACATGATTAATCGCTGCCCGTTTTGCGATACACTCTCTGCGTGTTTCAACAGACTAGGTACACCGTGCCTGACGTTCAACTAGTGCCACGGGCATTCTCCATGGTTGCGATTTCAGCTCGTTGACCGATGACACATCTAGGCCGGTCATAATCAAATATCGGGCTTCGGGTTTGGTGTGACCGGGTCAATTTAATCGTGACACGCTGTTGGCTAGTGGGCCCCATCGATGTTTGGTTGGAAGGATTTCCCGTCTGCGGTGTTGGCTCTTCGGCGATCATGCCAACTGCATTTTTCCCGCATCAGGGGTCATTTACGGGATGACTCTTGTCAGCAGTCCAGCGGGCACAATGTCAAGATTTGGCGGGCTGGACCGGCGGCATAGATCAATCATGCAAGCCCTTACATGTTAATCAAATTCGCCGCTGCACGCTTCCAGCGACTTAAAACTATATTTTCAATCTTCCTATCACCCGTTGAAGCGTGTATGCAGTAGCCATTTGGATACCGTCGGTTACTACTCCCTGTTGTTGTTGTTGTTGTTGTTGTTGTTGTACTTTTTGTTGTCCAATTTCTTTAGCGTGCTGTACTCAACATGGCTCTAGATAGCGAAATTCCACCACCTCTCCCAGACGATCCTCGCAGCCAATTTCTCTGTTTAACGATTCTCGGCTATCGCAAACAGAGTCTCTCTGAAGAAGAGTACAGGCATTATATGACGCAAGTTTCAGCCTCTTTGACAAGGGATCTCATGGTCAAGTACGGTATCATGCGGTGGACAATGGTGAGAATTCTAGCTCCAAATGCTCCGCTACGAAAAATACACTGATACTGTCAAAAGATTCACAACACATCACAGACCCGTCAGCTTATGGATATCTTAATGGATCCACAAATGGCCAATGTGGCCGATTACGATTGTTTCAGTCAAGTCGTGTTCAAGGATATCAATGACTACAAGAAAATGAAAGAAGACCGGTGGTACAAGGAACACTTAGTTGAAGACCATGAAAAATTTGCCGATACAACGAGAAGCAAAATGACGATTGGATGGATCACAGAGATTATCAAGGATGGGAAGGTCGTTGAATCGGTGCAAGGATAGTGCTAGGAAATATCTTGCATCTACAACATATCAAATGCCTCGCCACCAAAAGATTTCTGATCACTTGAGCGAGGTGCGAGAATCCAAGTAGCTAGTAATCGTTGGCGTAAGCCTGGCTCTAAGTCGCTCGCTGATGTCCCTACTTAGTGATCTCGTCGGTTAGGTAAGATCTGCTGGATATCGTGCGATAAACGTCAAAATGAATAAACATTTGGCCGATGAGCGAAGCTTCTTTTTAGTCTTGCGAAATCAATGAGAAACGCAACGTTGGAAAAAAAAAAAGAAAACTCAAATCGGATGAACATGGAATCAAATGTCTCCAACGTCAGAAAATAGCCACTATCTTATGTGATCCTGACATGGTCCAACATCTTTTCATCAAACCTGCCGAACAATCTCTTTAGCACTTGAAACCCCATGAGACCTTACTGCTCCTTCGAGAATCCTAGCAAATATATCCATAAACTCCTCAGTATCCCGTTGTTTCAGTGTGGAAAGAATACACAACTGGAGACTGTCAGCCTTTGAAGAATTTGTCTCTACGACCGTCATCTCCAACGCCGCGAACGGCCAGACCATCGCATAACCGCATCGATCCTCGACAACTCCCCGCAGAGCGGCCGCAGACTGCCCTTCTTCTTCTTCTTGATTGACAATATGATTGAGAAGCACGTTACCCCAACGCCGCTGCCTCGCCGTCGCCTCGGGACCCGTGGCAACGAGATACCCGTCCTGGTAATACGGATCCGATTCTTGTGTCGCCAGCCAGTTGCTAAAGGCGCGCCGCGAGATGTCCACGATGTCGGCCTCGGCGGGGACAGGGACTCGGATAGGACTGATGGATATTAGAGCCCCCTCCATCTCAGATGCGTCCTCGATGTCGGCGCGGTTGGCACTGAGTCGATAGTAAACCACTTCTTCCGGCATTTCTTGCGGCCCTCCTGGTTGCCACCATTTCAATAGACGGGCTATTGTCAGAGAGGTTGCGGCGTGGATCAGCGCAGCAGGTGTGATGTGGTGACTCCGGCACCAGTTGCCATACGGGAGGGAATTAATTCTTTTGAAGAGAGGAGGGGCTGGAAGGGCTTGAGGGGGAAGCTTTCCTTCATCAGGTATCGGAGTCGCTCGTGCCCCGGTCATGAAGTCTTCCCAGATTCTCATGTGCTTCTGTAAGACAGAATCTGGGGAACTGCCTAAGCCATCAACGCCGTATGTTTTCAGCGCCCACTGCTCCATTGACGGCCTCGCCGCATTCTCGCACGCCTCGGTCAAGAAGCGCTGCCATCCTCCCTGGCAGCTGTCTCTCTGGATTATGGACGCAAGAATTGCGTGAAGGTCTTCTGCAATGTTACGTGCCACCCATGCGTCGACAATTGAGTGGTGAAAAGTCCATGCGAGAAGCCGCGGCTTCGACAAGAATGCTACTCTCCAGAGCGGTCGAAGGAATGACCAGGGTCTCATCGAATCTTTGATGCGATGAATGTCGGGGTCTACGATCTCGGTGTTCTGGGAGAGGTCAATCTCCAACTCGGATGGCTTGAGCACAGCCTGCACGAATTCGGCATTCTTGATCAGGTCGAAGGCGCTGTCAGGGGTTTCGACTGTCTTTGGGTTGACCGACACATCTAGAAGAGAAAAGACGGTCCTTAAATTCTGCTTCTTCGACACCAGTAGGCGGATTCCTTCGAGAAGTTGGGCCTCGGTGCAGTCGGACTGAGAGAGGTCGAAGAACTGATAGAACATCCATGATTTGGGTTCCAGCATGCTGGTTATGAACATCTCTCGTTGGAGGATAGTGCTCGGAAATACGGCTTCGAAGCTCTCAAAACCGCACTTGGTATCCAAGGCCATTCTCCGCAGCAGGCCGTTTGTTGCGCTTGGAACTGGTTTGACGGATTTGACTAAGGCCGCTTCAAAGGCGTCTTCATCCTTAGCAGAGAGCGTTAAAGCCACGTCTGCAAGACTTCGCGTACTGTAGAGCGTCGCCATGGGTAGATCTATCTCTCGTTTACGCAGTTGCGCCCTAAGTTGGAGAGACAGCAAGGACGTGCCTCCATTTTCGATGAAAGACCGAGCCTGAATACTTTGAGAGTCTTCCAGGGAGATTGCATCAAAGTCTGAGCCAGCCAGGATTTCTGTGGCCAAGTCCAGAAAGATTTTGCCGTTGCCAAGGATGAATTTTGAATCCTCTTGCTGATGACCATCTGTCATGACCAGGCTTCCGTTGTCGATGATACTCTTAGCAGCCCTGGTCAAAGCGGCTGTGTCTGTCTTTGCCGTGGGAGTTTCGGGGAACTTGTCAAAGCGCAGCCATCTATGTGGCTTCATGTATGCCGGTAAATGATCAGAACAAGCCACTTCGGCCTTGGAAATGAAGTCTGCCCAGAAGCTATCGGCATCAGTATCGGCGGTCAGGATATCAGCCAGAACCACACAGCACGTAATGACCGGACGTCCTACAGACGGCTCGATAAGTATGACTCTGCACCTGATCACGTGCGGTAACTGGCTGATGATGTACTCGATCTCCTCCGGCTGTACGCGGTTACCGTCTATCTTGAATTGAAAGTCAACTCGGCCTAGTAAGACGAAGGCTTGGTCACCAACAAACATGCCCATGTCTCCAGTTCTGTAGATATAGGTGTGACCGGCGTCTCCTGGGAATGGATGAGGCGCAAAGACCTGTGAGGTTGCACCGGGTCTGTTAATATACCCCGAACTCATCCATGTTGAGCTGAGACATATTTCTCCTGGAATGTAAAGCGGGCAGAGCTCCATAGTACCCGGTCGAAGGATGTAGAGAGAGTAATCAGAGTTTGGAAGTGAATGATAGGGCGGCAGAGTTCCGGTACTAGACAAAATGGTGTCAACATGGCTTGATCAGGACGGTAGATTAGCAAAGAGTCTGCTTACGGCTCGTCATGAAAAGGCAGATAGTGAGAGTTCATTTCCGTGGCGCCGTAGCCTATGCGTAAAGAAACATAAGGGCTCCATGTTCCTGTGACAGCACATGAGGCGGCTTCTCCAACAAGAGAGACAGTCTTAAGACTGGGAACCTGGCTTGGGCTGATGAGTGAGATAGACGAGGGGGTGATGCACATATCGTCAATGCGATAACGGTTGATGCATTTCGCAAGGTCTGAGGTGATCTCGTCTTGAGGAGGAATGAAAAGGCACCCTCCATTGGTCAAAATTGTCCAGATGGCATTCCCAGACGCAGAAGAAATAGGGTTGAAGAAGAGCAAAGACCTCGAAGCCCGTGTTCTTCCAGCATAACTGGCGATGGAGGAGCCAAGCGTCGCATGATCGTGTAGAGAACATTTTGGTCGCCCTGTAGAGCCAGAAGTAACTCGGAACCACGCTGGTCGGCGGAAGTCTTGCAAGAGATTGATGCAAGAGTCAAGGGGTACCCGGTCAACTTTGTCGGTGGCAGAAAAAGTCCTCCTTTTCAGTTCATCAAAATCGTACTGCCATGTGAGGGCTTCCCACGAGGCAGCATTCTCACGTTGCGACTTGTCCACGATCAGGAGACTGCAACCGCAGTCCTCAATGATGTGACCATTCCTTGACTTGGGCTGGTTGGGATCAACTAGAACAACGGCAAATCCAGCTTTCCAGCACGACAAAACTGCAGCCACGATAGCAGGTGATCTCTCCATCATGATTCCTATGACAACGCCGCAGTCCATAACCAAGCCGGTGTCGAGCGGATACGAGGCCACACCCGAAAGTCGAAGGCCCAGGTCTGTGGCCATCAGGTCAGACATGAAGTCCAGTTCGCGGTACGTTAGCACGTATTCTCCGGTGCCCTCGATTGCAGGAAGATTTGGTGTTCTGTTAGCCTGACGACGGAAGAGCTGATGTACCGACCCGAATTCAAAGTCAGCGAGGGAAAGTCCAGGCCGGCAATCGTGGCGGATCTTCAGCTCCTCCTCAAGAGACATCATGGGGATGTCCCTGACGACTAGGGATCCCCATGTCCTATGATTGATAATGTGCCTTAACAAATGCAAGAAATGGTTCACCACAGCATCAATATGATGTTTGGGCAGCCATGATTGGTAGTGGCAAGTGGCTTGAACTGTCTTTGGACGTTTGGATAATAGCTGAATGGAGGTGTCTGATCTTATCCGTCGTGATAGAGGCAGCGAAGATAGAGTCGCGCCAGAGTATGATGAAGGGTAGACGATCAACATGGAAGATGTTGTGAGGGAGGATGAGTCCTGGTCGTTGTGCAGTGAGATATCCGACGCCTGATTCAGCAAATAGGAAAATGATGCATCTTCATCAACAGACGCGTGATAATTTGCGAGTGACCCGAGGGATGATCCATTCGGGGTACTTCGAGGCAATGCAGACGTTGCTAGGAAAGTCACGGAGCTCTGGAGAGTGTGGCGACTCAACACAACGGACCATGCCGCGCTACAAAGACGCCATACTGGTATGTTTTCGGCGATGGCGCGAGTTTCGATATCCCCAATGTCGAGGCCTGAAATATCGAAACCTGTGACCTTTTGGCATATGTTGTTGTCTTCGTCGTTGTCGATCGTTAAGAGCCCCTTGAGGTTCCGAAACGACATGTTGATGAGAGAGGGCCACGAAGAATCCCTGAGCGACTTGTCGAAAGTGGATGATTTGTAGGGATCGGAAAATAGTTCAAAGGCGGACGGAGGGCATCAACTGGCGACGAAGCTGCAAGTTGTTTCTCAAGTGTGACGATAACTTGACGAGTAGACGCCAAAAAGACGCAGGATTACGGCAAACATGACATAGAATCGAGAACTAAAATTACATATGACTGCTCAAGGCTGTGAATAATTTCGGAAAACCCAAAGCCAAGCCCGTCTCCCGTGGTCTAGGATCAGTCCGGGGTTTAGAGGTCAGCGAGGGCCAGGAAGAGACACCGGGCCGGTAGAGAATGAGAGAGATAGGTGGGAAACGTGAATCCGGTGTGAAAGAAACTCTTGAATGAGTCAGGACGGGTTTGGAATTGAGTGATGTGCTAGATGCCACCGCTAGTTGAGCCAAACCCCGAAACCCGAGTCCGGGACCCGGCTACGCGACCATCATTGATTCCCAACACCCATCAGCGTCGACGAAGAATGCCTCAATGATGCACCAAGTCAACTATAGAGTTAGATAATACCAAATGGATCGGCGGAATACCGTAAGTTGACTGCCTTTGTGGAGGGTGTCATTTATCTTGTGGTTCTAGCGGTTATTCCCATTTCGAACCTGACTACTATTACCTGATTTCATTGACCCAAGTTTTTGGGACAGAGCTAAACCTCTATTATTACTTCAGCGACAGTACTTGCTTACCCATCGCCAACTCATTATTCTAAGGACCAAAACAATCGAAATTCCTCCTCCTAGCATTCCTCTCATCTCAGCTCCGGCACCATGGGCAGCATCATCGAGGTGTCAGATCTCAATAGCTTCGGCAACAAACAGCGACAACCAAGTACGACCGTCGAGAAGAAAGATAATGGATTGTTCCAAAGAGAGATATTTTTTCCGTCTCTTATCCAGGCTTATGCGCATATGGAGCCCTTGCGAGTCTGTATCGTCTCCAGCACGACAACGCTCGATTTCAGGACTCTCTGGGCCCAGGTAGCGACGAACGCTGAAAGATTCCGGGGACATGGTGTCTTGAAAGGCTCGAGAATTGTCATCGTGTCGCAGTCTTCCCCGGCTGCGATTGTCGCCCTGCTTGCCGTTCTCAGCGCGGGAGCCATTGGCGTACCGTTGAGCTCGTCGTTGCCCGTGTCTCGCATCCAATCAATCGCCCAACTAGGAGGAATCACGCATCTGATTGACCTCACGGAACCTTCCAAGCAGATCAGCCTACCCGATGTTACTCGACTTACACTTGATTTATGCGTGCAGGGAACAGCATCACAACCTGTACCCAATTTGTTTCCAGAACAGGATGCGAAGTCACCAGCCGTAGTAATTTACACCTCTGGCAGCACTGGAGAGCCCAAGGGCGTTGTTCACTCTCATGCAAGTCTCAGTACGATGGCTTTCGCAGTAGGTAATGCCCTACGACTGGGACCAGCCGAACGCAATCTTCTATTTCCATCTTTCGGTTGGGCCGTGAACCTGATCGACACCTTCTCAACTCTCGTATCTGGTGGCTGCCTATGCATACCGACAGATTTAGAAAAGTCTCATGGGCTAGAGGATACCATCACTCGCTTTGCTGCCACGCGAACAACCTTACCATCTTCGGTGCTGGGAATAATGGGTGTAACCGCCGTCCCAAGCCTGACTGGCCTCGTGCTGGCTGGAGAACCAATGCGACCAGATCTGGTAGATTCTTGGAGTTCTCGCCTGAAGATTTACTGGAACTACGGCTCTTCGGAAACCCTCATGGTTCTGGTTGGGAGTGTCAACGAAGGCGACATGATGAACTCGGGTCATGCCCTCCAGTGTTGCCGTTGCTACCTTGTTGATGATGGTGGACTTCCGGTTCTCCCTGGAAAAGCTGGTCAACTTGTTGTCGAAAGCTACACCAACTTCATGGGATATTTACGGGAAGGCAAAGTCCATCCCAGCGAGCGTAGCTCAGGATGTTGTCCAATCGTGCGTTCTGGAGACCTCTTTTTGCAAGACATTCGGAATGCAACTTTCACCCACAAGGGACGTCTCGACTGTCAACTGAAAATCTCTGGCCAAAGATTTGAGCCGCAGGAGGTGGAGAACAAGCTTCTATCGGCTCTGGAGAATGTCAAGGAGCTGGCCGTGACGGTCGCCATCTTGAAAGAGAATTCTAGCAGGCCTGCTCTCGTGGTGCTCGTCGTTCTCGAGCAACCTTCTGCTACGAAAAAGGCTTCTCTCACCCTTTCGGAGTCTTCATTTACAAATCTTGTGCAGACCCTTCCATCCTACATGATTCCAGTCGGGGGCCTATCCGTCGGCAAGCTCCCCAGGCTTCCCAACGGCAAGCTCGATCGCAGAAGCCTTGTTTCTCTGGCAGAACAGAGAACATTGGCCGAACTGATCGACATGCGACCTACTACAGATTGCCAGCTGCAGGAGTACGACGTTGCAGTGGCAGACAAGATCGCTCTTGTATGGGCAAACGTCTTGGGCTTGGAGGTTGCGGCCATCAAACCCACCTCCAGCTTCCTTCTCCTAGGCGGCAACTCTCTCTCCGCACTTCGAGTGTGCAAAGAACTGCGCGCGGCTGGTATAATGTCGTCAATCTCCGACTTTTTTCTCCATCCGACTTTGAAGGCAATTGTACAATTAGTTGCCGAGCGAAGCACGCCTCAATCAGACAAAGCTCGTGGACCGCCGCTGAGAAACCAGTTTGTCGCTGACGTAAATGCCGATGAACTTCTTTCTATGGCTTCAGAGCAGTGTGGAGTTAGTGAGAAGCTGATTGAGGAGGTATTTCCGTGCACGCCGATGCAGGCGGCGCTGATGACGCTCGGTGAAGTCCAAGACGGTGCGTACATTGCGGAGCATGCTTTTCGTCTCCCGAGAACCTGGGCGAAGACGGACTTTCTTCGCGCCTGGAATGTCGTTCTCCGGAATACACCGATGTTGAGGAGCCGCATCGTGCGCCATCAGAACGGAAGACTGTATAACGTCACGATGCTGTTTGATGAAGGTTGCGCACTGCCATTAGAGTCTTTTTCTCGGCAAACTCCAATGACATGCGGATCTCAGCTATTTCAGCACTGTATTCATGACGCTCTGGGAGATGAAGCTGGCTCAATCTGGCGTTGGAGGATTCATCATTCCGTATATGATCGATGGTCAACCCATCTGATCCTCGAGATGACCCAGAAAGCATACAGAGACCAACGGATACCTTCACCGACACCATTCTCGACATTTTCATATGCCGTGGTGAATGAACAGTCGTCCGAAGGGGCCAAAGAGTTCTGGAGATCTAGGCTGGAATCCTTCACTGGGAGTGTTTTTCCGCAACTCCCTCTCGATCGGTTCATCTGCCGGGCATCAAGCTGCATCACTGTCGAGTGCAATATTCAGCATCGATCTTCCGCCGTAACTCAAGCAACATTCATTCAAGCCACTCTTGCTTTGATGATATCCAAAGTGCATGGAGAGTCAGACGTGGTATTTGGCATGACTGTCCATGGACGGGGGATGTCCAGCGATCTGGATCTGGAGACAGTAGTCGGCCCGACCATCACAAGTGTTCCGATGCGTATTCATGTGGATCCGCAACTGCAGGTCCGTAAATTCCTCGAGCTTGTACAGACCCAAGTCGCCCTGACGTCGGATCACGAACATTACTCTCTGCAAAACATCAAATCGCTTGGGCCAGGATCTGCGTCTGCCGCATCGTTCACGACACTTCTCATTATACAGCCGGATTTCGAGTCTCGCTTTAGCCGTGACGCCGAAGCTGTTGTCGAGATCGAAAATGGTTCTTCTGATTCCTACGTGGACTACCCACTGGTCGTTGAGTGCTTCCCACGCTCAGGGGGCGTCACAGTGAAGATGCTGTACGATCCAGCCGTTCTTCCCGGGTGGGACGTCGAAATGATGGCAAAGCAGTTCGAGCAATTGCTGCTCCAGATCGAGTCCAGCATAGATCCAGCAACGGTGGTTTCAGACTTGAGACCCCTGACACATCAACAAGCTGCAGACATCCTCAAGTTCAGCTGTGGCGATCTGGCTGAGTATCAAGAATGTCTCCAAGAGCGAATCTTCGCCAAAGCAAGAGACTGGGGGACGAACGACGCTGTTCAAGGGTGGGATGCCAGATACACCTATTCTGAGCTGCAAAGCACCGTCAAGCTGCTCTCTCCGCGTGTCTCATCTCATCTCGGAGGCACGACTGATGCAAGAATCATCCCCATCTGTTACGAGAAGTCGGCGGCTGCAGTGGTCGCGATGCTGACCACGCTATCAGCGGGCTACGGCTTTCTCATGATCGATTCCGGCCTTCCCACCGATCGTATCAAGTACATGCTTGAGGCCATCGGGGCAAATTGTGTTGTCTGCTCGAACGCTACCCAAGGACTCGTTCTAGACATCGGAGCACGACCAATCAACTTTGAGGGCATGTTCCACGATAAGAGTTCCCGGGCGGTGTGCTCCTCAGACGCCGCGATGTGTTCTCCGGAGTCGCCCGCGTACTGCATATTCACCTCAGGCTCAACCGGATATCCCAAGGGAGTGGTCCTGCTACATAAACAAGTCACAAGCGGCCTCGAGGCCCAATGCAGTGTTGGGCTCTATCCTCGCGGTGCCCGTCTTCTCCAGTTTTCCAGCTACAGCTTCGACACGTCCATAGCTGATATCTTCGCGACGTTGTTGAGCGGCGGCTGCGTGTGCATCCCAAGAGATGAGAGCAAGCTGCTGCAGCTTGCCAAGAACATTAACGAGTTCTCCGCCAACGTGATTGACCTGACGCCGTCGGTAGCAAGAATGATTCAGCCAGCCGACGTACCAAAGCTGGAGGTTCTCCGCCTGGGAGGAGAGTCAATGCACCAGCATCACATTGAAACATGGGCGAAGCGTTGCAACCTGCAGAACACGTACGGCCCGACCGAGTGCTGCGTTCAGTGCACGTTTGTCGACCATATTGACAACTCTACGCCTTCTTCGGTCATTGGGAAAGGCATTGGATGTCACACGTGGGTTGTTGATCCGCAGACTCACGACCATCTAATGCCGTTGGGAGCTGTTGGTGAGCTCGCTATTCAAGGCCCCGCCGTTGCTAGTGGGTACATCAACAACAATACGAAGTCCAAGGATTCCTTTCTCCCCAAAGCGCCTTGGCTCGCGACCTACAACGTCGAGTGTGCTTTTCCCACATACCTCACAGGAGACCTGGTCAAGTTCAACGAACAGGGCAACCTGATCTTCGTCGGAAGGGGTGATAACCAGATAAAGATCCGAGGACAGCGCGTCGAACTGGAAGAGATTGAGAATAATCTCCAGCAACATGCCCTCACGAAACAGGCTATAGTATCTTACCCAGCTAAGGGGCCACTCGCATCGCAACTCGTGGCCATTCTTGAACCATCATACATGCGCCCTTCCAAGTCGTCATCGCCTCCGGGCCCAGCCATTGACTTGCAACAAATACACAAACGGACCAAGGAGTGGATGAAGGAGAGCGCTCAGCAGGCCGCTAACTTCCTGCCTCATCACATGGTGCCCTCGGTCTACCTCCGGGCAGACCGGGTGCTGCTCTCAGCATCGGGTAAGCTCGACCGACGATCTATACAGCAATGGCTGGAACAGATTTCCGCCGACAAACTTGAGTCTCTGCAAACTTATCGCAGGGCCAGTGGCTCTTGTGGACCCTCAAAGTCGCCATTATACGAAATTCCAAAATCAGTCATGTTGCCCATCATTGAGCAGATCCGCTACCTTCTTTCATGGAGATCGGGCGATGAGGACGTCCAATTTTCCGCTCGACACACTTTTTCCCAGATTGGCCTCGACTCAATCACAATCGTGCCTCTACTAAAGTGGTTGAATAAGACCCACGAATTGTGCATGGATATGCAGACGCTCCTGAGACTCGAAACCACCTATGACCTTGCGTGCTACCTCCACCAAGGTAGGAATGCGCAAAAACGGGGTGATAGCGTCGATATCGATGGAAAGTTCCAGGACATTGTTACAAAGGGTGTCAACAGACTCTGTAACAGCAACCCAGAACAGCGGCCTCAACGAGTCCTCCTAACCGGAGGCACCAGCCTCTCCGGTCTCACCATCCTCCTTCGCCTCTTAGACCAGTACTCGTCAGTTAACGTGACGGTAATGATGCGGTGTGACGATGCTGCAACCGGGAAAAAACGCCTCGTCGAGAAGGCCCAGCTCTTAGGCTCATGGAAGCCTATTTTCAGCGACAGGATCGAGATATGGCCAGGAGATCTCACTCAAGATCGCCTGGGCCTTTCCCAGTCACATTGGGATCAGCTTGGAGGGTATGGAGACCCTTCCAAATACTTTGACAGCATTATACACAATGCGGCGGCAGTGGATTGGTTCGGAGGGTTCCAGGCCCTTCGGAAGGTCAACGTAGACGCCGCGCTTGATCTGGTGGAACGCGCGAAGGACTCTCCGGCCACCAGACGTATTGTGTATATATCCGGAGGCCCGCAGTGGGATCCTGAGGAATTGGCTGAAACCACCATATCGGAGGGGGGTGTGCTGGAAGACGTGTTAGCGCGGTCGAACGCATACGGGCAGACGAAGTTGATCACCGGCGCCATCATTCAGCGGGCGGCGGCTAGCAACCCGCGTCTGGCGGCAAAGTTCGCCGTCGTCCGTCCGGCGCTCATCATCGGCTCCTCGGTAGACGGGGTGCCTAACCTCGATGACTTTGTCTGGCGTGTGGTAATGGGCTGCCAGACCATCCGCGCATTCCCGGAGGAACCCATGGAGAACTGGGTTTACCTCTGCGGCGCTGACAGGTTTGCTGACATTGTTATCGACAAGTTGGATTCCTCAACCGGAGGCGAGGTATGCGAGACGAGGGTTGAGAACGGCCTTTCTGTCGGTAGGTTCTGGGAAGTTATCAACCAGGTATTATCAGATACTGTTCTAGAGCCCCTCGATTACGGCGCGTGGCTCAGGCGGCTGAAGAAAGATATGAATGCCTCGACTCATGATGTAAGCTTGACGGAGAGCCATCCGTGCCAGCCGATTATGCACATTCTCGAGTCCACTTCAGAGATTCTCGGAGCAGCAACACCCAGATTTGATAACCAGGAGCTGCGCTCGAGGATGGAGGACGAGACTGCGTGGGTGTTGCAGAAAAACGTCAAATACCTGGCTGACATTGGGTGCTTTTCAGACGCAGCAGTGTCTTGGTCTGCAAAAGCTTTCACGCGTAGCAAGGTTCGAACAAGACTGGCAAGGAGCTTGCCTGAATCAAACTAGATAAATCGAGTTTAGAATAGATTCTTCATAGTGAAAGTTGGGAATGAATTGCTAAGGCGTAATTGTGTTTCGAGTCCGCCATCGTCCTTTCACAAGAGTTCCGCGAAGAATGATGAGGGGATCTTGCGCAACTTTGATAATAATTTCAATTTGAATGTGACTTGACCGCCTCAACCAGAACTAATTTCACCCCACCTGCAGCCACGGTCATCGTACCTGGCGGTATCATTTTCAGATTGGCGCATTTTAGTCAATATTTCATTAATGTTTCATCAAAGTACGGAAATGCTCTCAAAGAGCCGAGTTGTGGAGCTCACTGGCTGGCTATTGTTGTGAATAATGATGATTACATTGATATACTACTGGTATATTCTACCCTTCTGTAATGTAGCTAGGCAAATCTCCTTCCCTGAAGGCGCCTGGATTCCGTCACTTTGATTAGCTACTTTCCACTAGATTGTCATGGTCTAGAAATATAGCTGTACCTTTATCCGAGCTCACCGCCGGGAAAAACATAATCCACATGACCATACTCGAAACTTGATACAAAGTCGATCGCCCCCACGAAATAGTATTACAATGCCTAAAGCGCTTTGTTCCATAGCCAGAACATTAAGTGTATCGTCCAGACCTCAAACGATCTGCTTGTTTGCTCACTCGTCCTTCCTAGTTGATTTGGGCTTCTCGTCGCCCTTCACGCTCTTCCACTCTAATGTGAAGGATCCCAGCGCTGACAGCGATGCCGTGACAGTGCCGACAATAAATACCCATCTGATCGCCTCGTTATACTTGACAAGCACGGTAGGTAGGTCTGCTGCCGGTAGGATGTCGCGCAAAGCCGTTGCACCGGTGTTTACAATAGTTTGCGGATCCAGGTCCTTGACGGCGTCGGTGAGCCCCTCGATGAGTTTGCTGTTGAGCACGTTCTGGCCGACAGAGACGAAGATGGCGCCCCCGAGCTGCTGGCAGAAGAAGACGAGTGACACCGCCATCGGTATATGTTTCCGCTGGAGCACCGTCTGCACGGCAATGGGACCATGTTGGAGCCCCAGACCGATACCGAAGCCGAGGATGATCTGGAATCCGATCCAGCTCCCACTACCCGTGTTGACTTTGAACGTCGAAAGAAGCCCCGCGCCGACGGGCATCAGAACGGAAGAGAGCATGGTAAAAGGCGTATAGTAGCCCAGGCGGCCCACAAGCTGACCGGACAAAGTGCTCGCGACCACGAGGGATATGACGAACGGGAGCGTGGCAACGCCAGAGTCCACGGCGCTCTTGCCCTTGATGACCTGGAACCAAATGGGGAGATAGTAGATAAGAAGAAGCATAGTCGAGGCGAGGCAGAACATGTACCACATGGCCGAGACCACGGTGCGGTTCTTGATGACCTCCAACTGGATGGTTGCATTCTCCTGTCTCAGAACCTCTACCACAATGAAGACGATCAGGCAGACGGCGAACATGACGAGCAGGAGTATAACGCGCCAGCTGTTCCAGTCGTACGTGATTCCTCCCCATTGAAGCGCCAGGAGCAGACAGATCAGCGAGGGGAAGAGAAACAGCTCACCGAGGAGATCCAGCTTTTGCAGCTGCTGGCGGACCGTCAGGCCCGGAACTGCCGCTGGGGACGGCTTCAGCGCGAAGAAGATGACAACCATGGCCGCCCCCCCAATGGGGAGGTTGATGAAGAAGCACCACCGCCAAGTGACCCTACTTGTGAACGCGCCGCCGAGGAGCGGGCCGACCACCGAAGACGTGCCCAGGACGGCGCTGAAGAAGCCGTTATAGAGCGGCCTCTTCGCCAGGGGCACGGCCCCCATCATGAGGACGATGGCGCCAGACAAGATCCCTGCGCTACCCATGCCGGCGATGGCGCGCCCGATGATGAAGACGAGTGAGCTAGGCGCCGCCCCGCAGATGGCGGACCCGATCTCGAAGATGCCGAAGAGCGCGAGAAAGACATACTTGGCCGGGTAGAAGGTGTAAACCTTGCCCCAGAGGAGCTGGAAGCAGCAAGTTGTGACCATGAAGGCGCTGCCATACCAGCCGATATCTTGGATGCTGTGAAACTCGTCCGTCATCCGGGGGATGGCTGTTGCAATAATGGTTCGGTCCTTGGGGGTTGAGAGTTCGAGTTAGTTGCCTCTGTGGGCGTTCACACGGTTGAAAGGGTTGGCTGATTCGAGAATTTGAAGGGGGAGGGACTGTAACCTCACCAGAGACATGAGGAAGATGGCGCTCAGGATGCAAGCCATGATAACCGCGACCTGCGCAGACCCGGGATATTCTGGCTCCTCTGAGAGAGCAGCCGACGAGTGCCGTTCCAATACATTCTCGTCGGTTTCGCCCTTCTCATTATTGTCTAAAGGTTGAGAGGATGAGGCGAGTTCAGCCTGTTCGGTTGGCTTGATCTCCTTGGACGCCTCCATTTCCCGATCGTTTGGCCTTTATGGGGCTCTACTGTGTTAGAAAAGATGCTTCGTGGATGTTTGACTGGTTTCCTGGTTGCTGAATTGGTTTTCTCTACTGCCAGAGTCGGTTTTGATGTAATATGCCAAGATGCCAAAATGCCTACCGATCACCACTGCAAGGGGGAATGTCTAAAAATCCGGGAATGGTATTTCGGCCTATTAACGGACAAAATGCAGGACTAGTGCCGATTGCTTGTTTGGCTACACATTCCTAATTGCATTCAAGGCTACCAATTGCATTGAGGCGCGACGTACGGGACTCGGGACTCGGGCTTCGGGTCTGGGGGAAGACAGGGGTGACGGACGGCGGCCCAACGATCCTGAACAACAGATTTCCTAGTCTGCCCCTTCACCTGCAGGTTCGCGATTGAAGATGACAATGACACGAGTTGCCTGGAGGGGATGGAACGAGGACCGAATGCCTCACGCATTTGGGCAAATCAACCAAGTGGTTACACAATTGCTATTAGGTAGACTCTGATTGGTGACTTCAGGAAACACACGGATAACACGGCTTGAGATGTGGGCAGATACAGTAACCGAAACAGGCTGTAAATGATAAGAGAGCAAAGCCATCACTCTTCATACCAATCTAACACACCGTGAGCTGCCTGCAAAGCATTTGCCACAGACTGTCTCACTCGCCCCCATTCACCTTCCAAACCCGGACTCTCATCTATCGCGCGTCACCGTTCACGAGGCGAGAAAGCCCAATCACAGCCCCTGTCAGCGGGAACAGGGATCTCGCCAGATGCAGCAGGCTCCATCTCCTAAGCAAACCCTTGGCATCGTCTATGCCGGCGATCACACCCGCTGATTGGCTCCTGAAGTGGAGATCGAAGAGCGTGTTGTTGGTCGGGACCATAAACACCCATGTAAACGGGATCATGGCCACCGTGAGGGTTCCCGCGAGCGCGTACACGGCCCACGGGCGCCCTGTACCCCGAGTCATCGCCCCGGCAGACGCGTAGAGAGTCAGTGTCGCGAGGGAGAGGCCCGGCAGCACAAGGTGGCCATAGTGGTAGAGGCGAACAAATTGGTGGAAGAGTTGGGAGGATGTGTCTGTCGTGTCGAGGAAAACAGGTACGGCCATCAAAGAGAGGCCCATCATGGCACCTAGAAAGTCAATAAAAGGGGGGAAAACGGTGTTGCGAGTTGAGAGGGGATTTTACCGGAAAGAAACGCGCCGGTGAGCACGGCTACAGCGTTGATGGTGATGAGTTGTTTGGCCATGAGGTCTTTGGTCTGTCTAAAGACTAACGGTGTTGATGTGAGACTTGAAGCACTTCGTCGAGGGACTTGACTCGGTCCGATTGCGTGAAGACATAGCCATCTTATAATTCGTTTTCGTATTGCATGTTACAGCCTCTTCGACCCAAGCCCGAGCGGGAGTTTGTGTATCGGAACACGGACATTCGCAGCGTGAGCTGTGTACTAGGTTGCCTCTTCACATATTTGTAGCTAGCACGAGGAACACTCAAGAAGCCTGCTCCAGTCAGAGCAAACACAAAAGTTACTCTCATTTCTTCTTGCTAATCGTGGAGTGTATGAAGAGGACAGAGTTGACAGAAGACAAAGATATTCTTCTCAAGCCCCCAGAATTTATGCCCGGAATCAGTGGATGTAAATAGGAAGCTTAATCAGAATTGCACAACGTAGAAGAGTCCGTTCAATGTTTCTTCAGAAGCCAGACTAGGAGTCCCTTCGCCAGTCCAACTTGCACCAGTATATTATCAAATCTACCTAATTGTAATATTCCCGAAGCCAGTCCTTGAGAGCACCCAGTGTAGGATACTCCAGGAATAGACTGCTGTTGACCGCAATGTCGAGGTCTCCACGGAATCTCTCCGCAATGACTAGACTCATGAGGCTGTCCACGCCAACGTCCCCGAGCCTCGTGTCGTCGCTCAAGTCCGCAACATCAATACCAGTCTGACTAGCAATGATGAGCGTGGCCTTGACTGCGATGCTATCGGGGTCTTCGGGAGCGGGCGACATCCTCTCCGGGCTTCGGTTCGTTTCTGTCGCGGGAGTCTCACTTCTTTCCGGTTCACTTCCAAGAGCGGAAGCCATGCTCGAAGGCCCGGACGATGGTTCGATCGATGGGAACAAAGCGGAGACAGGGTTTTCCGTTCCATCTAAGAAGGCCTGTTTGTTGCGGAAAGTAGTTGGTGATACCAATCGAGGGGCATCTCGGTTCGGCAAAGAGACCTTCGGCGGGATTTGCGACGAGGCAAACAAATTTGCGGCCTTGGAGTCTGGTGGAGAAAAGAATCGGTCGAGAAGGATCCTTGGGTACCGACGAAATTGAATTCCCCCAACCATTCCGACGATCTCCCTTCCTCTCATGATGTATACGTCACCGCAGAAGACCCCCGTGTCATCCCGAGACGGGATCATCTTGACGTACGACCGATACTGCACCCCGGGTTCGAGCCGCCTCGCCAGGAGCATAGACTGCCAACCGGGCGTGACGCAGAAATTGCCCGCTGTATCGTGGGCGTCGGTCACGTTCATGACAAACCCGGCGAGGTGAGCCACGCTGTCAATGAAGTACGGTGGCACTGTCCAAATGCCGCCCTTGTCTGTGGTGAGCTGCACGTCTGCGAAGGCCTCGAACTCATGCATGACGACCGAGCGCATGCCGCGGTACTTGTCCGCGTAGTTAACGAGGCTCGAGGCGAAGAGGCTGTAGGCCATTTTACTGGAAAACTGCGTGGCTTGGCCCCTCCGTGCCATCTCTTGTAGGGTCTCGATGCGGCCTTCGACGAGGTGCGTGATAGGAACCCATGATCTGAGATATTCGTCGGCATCGCCGGAGATAACGGTGGCTGTGGCAAAGGGCTCGGGTTCGGCTGCGCCGTTGCTATCCGTGTTGTGCCACTGCATGTTGATGCCGTTGGCGATGTTGCTGGTGCTGGCAGTTACGTGGATGAGCTGTGGCCGTGAGGTATCAGTTTGCACAACGAGGCCCTTGACGACTCTCAAGTTGGCGACGTTGAAATGCTCGTATTTCACGGGAGTTCCTAGTCTCTTCGTCATGTACTCGCCGAGTGTGTAAGCGATGTCTGCGTGTATGGACTGGTTCACCAGGTGTTAGTATAGGAGATACGACAGGGGTGGCATAGATTGAAGATATCACTAACCGAGGTGACGACGCCGCAACCGTTCATGTTGTGGCCGTGAGCCGCAGCGAAGAAGTCCGCGGACATGAGATCCGATTGCATCGTTACGATGCCGGAGGTGCCATGAAACTCCTCGTGAATGATGGCCTGAACAAGTGAGGTTCGGAAAGACGATACTGGCAGCAGCGCAGCCTTGGTTTGCTTCGGGCTCTCGTAGAACGTGTTGCCTTTGACAAGAGCCCAGTCACCGTTGTACTGAATCCAGTAGTTTTGGTTGTTCCAACTGTACGTAGGCAAGTCCAACAACCTCAGTTCACTCTCGAATGGACGATGGAACTCATTCCAGTCAACATCAAGACCTGCAGAATGCAAGCTAGCAAGACTGTCGGCAAGGGTAGTCCAATTGTCTTCTCCACGGCGAAGTGAAGGAAGAGCAACGCAGTTTGGACCCAAAGTCGCCTTCAAGAAGCTGGTGTTTACCGGGTGTGGGCCCATCTCGATCCAGAGCACGTCCTTGTCGATAATACCAATTTCTAGAGCCTTGTTGACGGCACCGAGAAAGTCGCAGGTCTCTCTCGTTGCCTTCCGTAAATAAGTACTGTCCACGGTCTTGCCGTCGCAGATAACTTCGGCGAGTAGTGGTGAAATGATAGGGATTCTAGGTTCACGGAAAATGATGCCCTCTCGGGCAAAGGCCTCAAAGTCTTGCAGAATGGGGTCAGTCTGCGCAGAGTGGAAAGCAAATGGCACATCGATCGTAGCGCAATGATAGCTCCTACTTATAAGAGCAGCTCTCACAGCTTCCAGATCTTGCCAGGTACCGCCGAGAACCGTTGACTTGGGACCGTTGATGCATGCAACCTCATAAGAAAGGTCTCCCGCAGCTGCTTCGACTTCGTCCACGGACGCTCGAACAGCTAACATGCCGTGGCTCGCGGCTGTGCACTTTTCTTGTAGCATCTCTGCCCGTTTGCCCACGAGGCAGATAGTGTCGCTTGCCGAAAGAACGCCCGCGACGCAGAGAGCCGCGTACTCACCCAAGCTGTGACCAAAGACAACGTCCGGCTTGACGCCGAGAGACTCCCAGTACCTGGCCAGCGCAATCTCCATGCAAGTGAGGGCGATATGCGTGATGACCGCGCCGTGGTCGTGATCCTTATCATGGCTGCCGTCAATTGCCGGGATGAAGGACAGGAAGCCAAGCCGCCTAGCGAGGGCGTCGAGCGTGAGAATCTGTGAGCGGAAGACGGGCGAGTGGTGGAACAGCTGCAGATTCGAGGATTTGAAAGACGCGCCCTGGCCGGTGAAGGTGAAGGCTACGGATGGTACGAGCGTGCTCGAGATTGGACGGTGGGCGTCGAGCTGCTTCAGGCTCGAGTACAGTTGTGTCCGAAGTCCGTCAACTTCCGCGACGTGGAACGCGAACCTGTAGTTATAATGTTGACGGCGGGCAGTGGTGGTGTAAGCTAAATCTGATAGATGAACCGCGGGGTGACTCTCGATGTACGATAGCAGGCGCTCGATATTGCCTTTCAATGAACATTTGCTCTTCGCCGAGACGACGACGGTATGGGATGGTCGAGGATCGGCCCCCGTTGTTGCTCGGCTGGGGCCATCTTCCAGCAGAAGTGATGTGTTGCCGCCGGCTGCGCTGAAGCTATTCACCATCGCGAGGCGCTTGCGATGTGGCGTTCGAGGCCACGAGGTGGCCTCGAAGGGAATGCGTATGTTTCGCTGGTCCATGTGCGCGGGGAGCTTGGGGTTGAGAGCCGTCTTGATGCCTACATGAGGCGGTATCATTTCTCGCTCGAACATGAGCAGCACTTTAAGCAAAGCCGTAGCTCCTGCAACAGCTTCGCCATGACCCACGTTGGACTTCACAGCTCCGATATGAAGTGGCTGCTTCGTGCTTCGACGCTTCAAGAGGGGTGCGAAGACGTCGGTGACGGACGTGAGTTCTTGAATGTCGCCAGCTTGCGTGCCAGTACCATGCGCCTCAATGTAACTCACGTCGAAAGGGTCTACACCAGCTCTCTCAAGCACTTTTTGATAAAGATACGCTTGCGAGCCTGCGTGGGGATGCGTGATAGACACGGCATCGGCAGAGTGATTCGTTGCAGCTGCCAAGATGACTCCTAGGATATTATCGTTATCTTTCTCGGCATCTTCCAGTCGCTTCATCACGAACGAGACAACTCCATCAGCACGACAGTAGCCGTCTGCATCAACGTCCCACGTCTTGCAAGCATTCGGCGTCTTTGTGAGAAAGTGCCCATTGCTGAGGCCGGCGAATGCGTCCGAGTTGGTGAGTATGTTCATGCCTCCGGCGACAACGGTGTCAACTTCGCCGTTCCAAAGAGAAGTGCAAGCGGCCTAGATCATGGTCAACGGCTGAGAAAAACAAAAGACAGTGAAGGGCGGAACTGCGTACTGACCTGGATAGTGGCCAGACTCGATGAACAGGCCGTGTCGCAGCTAAAGCTTGGCCCCGAGAACTTGAAGAAGTAATTGATGCGGCCAGGACCAAAGGCGCGGCAGCCACCCGGTATGAAGTACGTGCCAATCTCCTGAGCTGTGTTGACCTCTCGATAATCGTCACTGGCCTGACCGTACCATGTTCCAACGCGAGTCTTGTGGGACGAGGGGGTACGGCCAACAACAAAGCCAGCCCTCTCTAGGGCTTCGAAGGCCGTCACGAGAGCCAAGCGCTGCATTGGGTCCGTTTGTTCCGCTTCTCGGGGAGACATGTTGAAAAACCCGGCGTCGAACAAACCTGGGGCGTCGACAAAGCAGCCAAACTGTGTGTGGCTGGCATTCATGTTCTTACGCTCGGGGTCGTAGTGCGATTCTACGTCGAAGCGATCCTGTGGTATCACGCGGTGCACATCGAGCCCCTCTTCTAGGATATTCCATAACATATCGGAGTCAACTGCGCCCCCTGGTAGCCTGCAAGCCATGCCGACGATGGCAATCTTGGAATCTCGCGGCGACCGAGGATTCTGTCCTTGAGACGATGATTCCACATCAATGATGCTTGTTAGTAGATCCACGACGTTCACAGCTGCTTTTGTCTCTCTACTGTCCAAGGCTGTCTGAAGATCCTGCATGGGCAATGAATTGCCAAAGGCCATTAGTTCAATTCCTTGAGACTGGGTCGTGCCAACATTCGCAGAAACATAGTCAACGATCTTGTCCCAAACAATCTGACGAGTAAGTATCTCAAAGATGATCTGTCGGAAAAGCTGGCGGGCGCTTCCTCCAAGAAAGGGAGTGCCATTGCTGGGTGCCAGAACAGGGAACCGCGAGAAGAGCTCCTGTTCTAGCACCAGAGAGCCAACGACTTGATCAGCATCTTGTTTAGTGTATACGTGAGGTGCGTGGCAAAGGCCCCCATACACCGGCAGCGGGATTGGTTTTTGATTTCTAAAGAAAGATGAGGTACGGAAGAGCTCCTTGAGACGCGATGGAGGTCCGCTGATAGTGACTGACGTTCTGCTCTTTGCGCTGATGAAGACCTTGGCTGCTTCGGGAGTTCGCTGTGAATTATTAGTCTGAATTCGGTTTCTGGGTTTTCTTCTTGAGAGACAGAATGAGTCAGGATGTACGGTACCTGTCGAGAATGGATACTTTCCAGCTCTTGCTGGACTTCGTCAGTCGTAGCACCATGAACGACATATGCCCATGAGTCGAAAGTTCCCTCCTCGTCCAGAGGCTCCAAAGTCTGGGAAACTTGAGCCACAAAGCAACCTAAACGAAAGGCGATAGATATAACTTCGGCTCCTATAGAAGGGAGGACTTCCAATGATGGCGCAAGTGAGACTGTGGTGGCGACGAGAAGACCGAGTCCTAGGCCCGTGAGGAGGGTGTTGTCCAAGCCGGAGAGGTTGAACTGGCCCGACTTAGTCTCGCAGTAGCTATATTCTTGTAATTAATCGGATAGCCCATCGAATTTGCGGGATTTCTCAAAGGACTAACCGGATAAACGATCCTATCTGTATGATACATAGGAGGACGCCGTCGACGGAGCCGGACAACACACCGCGACGTAGTTTACGATCCGCTGCCAGGCTCTGAACCGACTCAAAGTAAGGAACAAGCCGTCTCAGGTCAAGAGGAAGCTTTTCAACCTCATTACGAACGGCGGCGGTTGCTTCCTCCAGGAAGCGGGAAAGGTGAGGATGTCTTTTGTCTTTGCTGTCTAGGTACAATCGCCGCAGCAGCATCTGCGAGTCCGCTGGAGGAAACTCGTTACTGAAGTAAAGAAGACGCGAGGAGCTTTCCATTGTGGATGATGTTTGTAATAGAATGAAAATAGGCTGAAAATCGAGGCAGTGGTATTGTAGCTTTGGGTGCCACCGTATTGGAGTAGGACTGGTTTTGAGGAGGTCCTTTGATGAATAAGTCTAAATTTAAGTGCTAATCGGGCTCCTTTCGGCTTGAATCTGCAGTGCTGCTCTGTATTCAATGTAGACAAATCCATATGCGTGATACTTGTTTCAGCCTGAAAAAAAGATGCTATACTCTAACAGATGGCTCACGGGGTTGACTCGCCCCTGCTCGGGGGGCAAGGAGCATCATATTGTTTCGCACCCGAATTCCGGTGGCCCCGGAAGCCGAATCAAGGCGATGCCTAAACCCGATAATGCGTCTGAATGCAACACCATGGCACAGGACTCTGAACAGTAACCGTCTTATCTTTACCTTTTCAAGCGGATTCCCTTTGACCTTATCGTGGATGCTAAACCACTTGAGGGAAGAGGGGTAAATGGATCCCGCAAAAGTAAGTAGTGACTTCATCCCTTTCCATTCATGATGTTCCCGTGTGAGCCCTACATCCATAGTTCTCATGGTCTAAGCACCCTGCGTGTAGAATCTGTGCAACATGGGCCAAGGGGGCTACAGGCAAATCAACAAAGCGCTCAATGTGTCTGTCTTTGAGAGTTATCTTGAGACACAGCAGGCGCAACTACCAAAACTCCAAGACATCCAACAGCTGAGCCCCAGGGTGATCCGAATACTCGGGCAAAACCCCGGCAAGGTACGCTAAGAACAGAACCTACATCGGACTCTTGTATATAGATGAGTTGATGAAAAATCACCGATACTCATGGCTGCTTGTAGTTTACGCTCCAGGGAACAAACACCTACATTGTCGGCACCGGAAAGAAGAGGCTCCTCATTGACACCGGCCAAGGAATGCGCGAGTGGGCGGACATGGTCGAAACCACCCTTGGCAAGCATGGCATAGGCTTTTCGCACATAATGCTAACGCACTGGCACGGTGACCACACCGGCGGCGTGCCAGATCTCCTTCAAATGTTTCCAGACCTCTCGGATCGTGTGTTCAAGCACAGTCCTTCCGAGGGACAGAGACCAATCGCGGACGGGGAGATGTTCAGCGTTGAGGGTGCCACCCTACGGGCTATTCACGGAGAAGGCCACTCGCACGGTCACGTCTGCTTTGTGCTCGAGGAGGAAAACGCCATGTTTACAGGCGACAATGCCCTCGGCCACGGGACCAGCGCTGTGGAGCACCTCGGCCTCTACATGCAGACCCTTGAGAAGATGAAGATGCAGGGATGTGCGGTGGGATATCCCGCCCACGGCGATATCATCGCCAATCTGACGGCAAAGATCACTCAAGAGCTTGCATCCAAGACACGTCGCGAAGAGCGATGTCTCGGCATTATGAGTAAGCTGAAGAGCGAGAGAGGAGGGATGGGAAGGATGGCCAGCGTCACAGTAAAGGAACTTGTACTCGCTATGCATGGTAGTCAGCTGGACGACGTGATGAGGGAAAAGGCGTTGGAGCCGTTTGTGGACGAAGTTTTGAGGAAATTAGCCGAGGATAGAAAAGTCGCTTTCCACTCACGGGATGGCGTCAGGCGCTGGTTCTTGCTTTCGTAGAACACCGCTCGATTTACTCGCAATATTCACTTACAGGCGATAGAGAAGATGATCTGAATTCAATGTTATGTGCCCGATGATGTATTAGTGACTACATGTAGTACGCGTCTCGAACGCGCGCGGTTGCCCGAAACAATTTGGTCACGATGTCGATGTATTTCTTCAGCCGCTGTATTGGATCTTGATAGAATTATTGAGCATTTCATGTGGAACTAACAAGAAACCTAGTGGCCGACATCGATGCTTGTGTAATTGAATGCAATGATAGGAAAGGTTTCAATTTAGTCAATACTAGAAATAAAGTCTATCTACCTACTGATATCAAGCTGCACCCCCATCGATCTCGATAACCTTTCCATTGACCCATTCTGACTCTTCAGAGGCAAGGAACCCGACGACCTTTGCGATGTCGTCTGGATAGCCGCAGCGTTTGAGCGGGGACACGTTAGCAACAATCTGATTGATCAATGGGTCAGTTCTCGTCTCTTTTGTTGTCGCAACTGCGTTTGTAAACAAGAACAAGAGCTCTCTTACGTTCAAAATTTCTTCCTTAGTAAGGTTCTCCGCGTTCGGCAGGTAATCCTTGGCCGTCTCGTGGAACATGTCCGTCACAGTCCCGCCGGGAGCGATGGCGTTGATAGTGATCTTCTTCTTGCCACAGTCCTTAGAAAGAACACGCACGGCGGCGTTGATAGCGGCTTTGGACGCCGAGTACACCGCATGTCGGGGTACCGAGAAGGAAACCGCCGTGTTAGAGCTCATGAGGATGATACGTCCGCCTTCAGAAACATGCTTGTAGGCCTGCTGTGCAACGAAAAACTGGCCTCGCGTGTTGATGTTGAAGACTCGGTCAAACTCCTCCTATTATACGTGCTTCAAGTTAGAAAAACAACCGATTCTCTTGAGGATATACATGCGAGGAGGGCATTATCGGTTTGGAAAACTTGCCTCGGTAACCTCATCAAGATGGCCGAACGAAACTACGCCCGAGTTCGAGCAGACAATGTTCAGTTTGCCAAAGTGCGCAATAGCCTCTTCGAAAAGGCGAACCGTCTGGGGCACTTTGCTCACGTCGGCTTGAATGGCAATGGCATCAGATCCGAGACTCTTAATTTCCTGCACCACTTTGTTGGCCGACTCTGCTGACTTTGCGTAGTTGATGACGACCTTAGCACCAGACCGTGCCAGCTGAAGGGCCATAGCTGCACCAATACCACGACCGGAACCGGTGACGAGCGCGACCTTGTCATCCAGGCGGTAAGGCGAAACGGGAGGTGAAATGGAACCCATGATTTTGGTTGATCGTGATATTGGCGGTGGAGTGAACAGTTAGTCTAGTAGAGATAAAGTGTGAATGGGAATGATCGCATTCCTGGTAACATGGCACTTTATGTTCAGGAAGCCCGCGCGGACTCTAGTTGGGGTGCAAGAAATGTCGGAATCGACCAGATGACCGGTAGACCGGGACTGGCCTCGTTCGGGTCTGTGGTGGAAACATCAAATCATTCGGCGGAACCCCGAAGCAGCAAAACCGGGTACCTCGGACACTGGGAGGGGTTTACATAGCCCAGTTTGAACGATAGAAATTGACCAAACATGAATTTGGCATTGTATTTATGATCGTTGTCGAATTCTCTAGAGTTTATGGGAATTTGTGCTGCCGAAGCACATGCGCAGGTTGATTATCCCCACAACCAAAAGTTAGATACAGGGAAGGGCACAACCTATTATCGTTTAGCTGTGACAAAAACATGGAGGTAAATAAAACATAACGGTCATCTGTATTCAAAGACGTGAGTAGCAATGAGGCTTGCACCGAAATACCTTAAGCAAGGTAGCAGAAGCAGTAGCAGATCTTGGCGATCATGCGGCCGAGTTCAGATGACGGAAGGCAAGGCTAGGCAGATTTAGAGCTTTTGCAACATGAGTTTAACTCAAATTCGGAAAAAGTACAATGAATGTAGCGGGAGTGGCGCCAAGTGGGTTACAACTTGGAATGAAGTCGATGCTGTGAAGTGTAAGGCGCACAACAAAACTCGGCTTCAGATGCTCCGGAGGCGGTCACGCAACGGAATCGTTTAATTTCGAGGGCCAACCCCATTAGTCTAACAGAAACCCGGAACGCCAAAGCATGTTGGCTGCTTGTAGTATTCTTGCCCACTGGCTTATATAAATATTTTCTCATAGTCATCTTCCGACCATCGAATAGTAGGTTCGATGCCGGCAAATTTCCATGAATCATCCATCTTGCGATAGAACACGGTGGCAATTCCGTGGGCGTGGCCCTTGAGAGCAACACTAGTAAGGTCCTCGTCCTCGTACTTTTGATGGGCCACGCGCATCTGATGGTAACCCACCATCTCATCAGCGCTTTTCTTAGACCATTTTTTTGCCCCGCCGACAAAGTGCTGCGTCCGGATTCGCTTGTTTCCTAAGAAATGCGGGTTCGACACCATCTGGATGAAATCGGCCGCTGGTATAGCCTGCCACATCTTATTGAATATGGAGCGGTAATCAATCTGAGAAGAAAATTGTCATCGGAACATTCTTCTAAAATATCGGATACTGTGAAGCTTACGTATAATGTCGGTGCGATGCACTTTTCAAGCCGGTCCCAGTCCTTGGTATCGTAGCTCTCAGCCCACTCGAAAAGAGCGGCTTCACACCCGGAAACATCTTTGAGCAGTGGTTGAGTTAGTCCAGGCCGTGCAAGGAAAGGCATTTACGTTTCAGAACTGACCTTGAAAAGTGATATCCATGATAAGGACGAAGCTAAAAGAATTGTCCAATTGCACTTCGAGCCACTACGTAGCAGCACCTAGCATATGGTCTCGGAAACTTACCAGTTGCATGCACAAGGGGGTTTAAATGAGCTGCAGTTGTATCGCTGGCCTTTCTGAAAATGTTTCCGTACGCAAACCCAACGATAGCGTGTCTTCGCGGTCACCGTGCTGTCAATCCCGAGAACTTGTGGATGATCGGAGTTCGGGCCAAATAGCTTTGCTTATTGTCGGCTCATCACTGGTGTCTATTTCTACCACAATAATCAGCACGAGATCCCACCCGACAAGCCCTGCAACACATCACACCATCCATCTCTTCATATCGAAATTACACGCGTCTCTACATCGGCGAACATAGCAGATCAACACCAAACGCGCCAAAATCATGGACACAGCGTCTTCGCAGGCGGCTACTATCGAAAAGTTCATTGATGGATGGAAACGGTGGAATGCTAGTGAGATGCTGGCCGTCTTTGCCGATGATTTTACCCAAGTAACGCTTCCCTTTGGCTTGGGGGTCCCAGAGAGGAAACGGGACGCTGTGGAACGTGCCCTCCCGGCTTTGGTGGGTATTGTCAGCAATTACAAGGTTTGTGTAGTCTGCAACCTTTGACATCGCCGGGGATCCAGCTCAACTGATCCCGATTGACCGATTCAGAACTAACTCAACCTTGGGATTCAGTTGACTATACACGAAGTGTTGCATGATGCGGCCAAAAGTAAGGCAGCAGTATATGCGGTCTCCACTGGGGAGTCTCCTTTTGGTCCATGGGAAATGGAATATGCAGCGTTTCTGCACTTCAGCAAGGCCGGGGACAAGATTGTTCGACTGGAGGAGATGCTAGACTCAGCTTTCACAAAAGACTTTGCTCCAAAGTTTCAGAAGTATCTGCAAGATCGGCAAGCAGAATGTCGGGCTTAATCTCACTTTATGAGCTGGAGACCGTGCCGTCAGCATCAGCGCATTCAATACAAAGCTGTGGAATGCAAACGCTTCAATTGAGCATCAAATTCATTATCTTATATGAAGACATCTAATGCCCATCACCCCAACATCCGAAAATGAGCCGCCGCGTGAGTGCGTGTATATGAGAGACTGGGACTCAACACGCCATGTTTCTCGGGTCTCGGGAGAGGCGGTCAAATTGGACATGGTGAGCGTGCCCGACCAGCTTTGAGGGTGCGAATATATGACCTCAATCGATGTCACGTAGTAAAAATGAGATTAGTTACTGGAATCAACTTGCGAGTACTCATGATCGCTTACTAGTACCATTGAGAAATGTCCCCGCGCAACGATATGGCCGAAACCTCAGTCGTCGATTCTGCATACGTTGAACCAGCGCGCGTGCCGGTCGTGGACTATCAATCACTTGTCTCTCCCGACAACGCGAAACGACGAGTGGCCGTCCAACAACTCGACGCGTCCTTCCGGGAATACGGTTTCGTCTATCTTTCTAACCATGCGATACCACAAGAAAGGGTCGAGCAGGCATTTGAATGGGTATGACCGGAAATCTCACTATGGTCAAGTGAGTGCCGTACCGGTACCTACTGACATCATGACAGTCTCGGCGATTCTTTGAGCTGGACGCGAGAGAGAAAGAATTGATCGCCCATCCTCCCAGTGGCGAGATTGACGACAACCGCGGCTGGGCCAAAACCGGGCTCGGTCACACCGTCCAAATGGTCTTCGACCCCGATGAAGCGGACGCCTTTCGCCAGAGCAATCCCGACTGCAAAGAGACACTGGAGCTTGGAAACCCCTTTTCAGCTACGGTTCCTCCCAACAAGTGGCTTCCCGAGAACGTTCTGCCGGGATTTCGAGCCTTTGCCGAATCGTGGTGGACAGACTGCGAAGGGCTTGCTCACAACCTCTTTCGATCCCTGGGCGAGGCCCTGCGGATTGACGACCGCGACTACTTCAGTCGCATCCACTCGGAAAATGACTGCCACATGACCTGGAATTTTTATCCCTCGGGGCCCCTGCAGAAGCCCGGCTTGGAAAATGCCAAGCGACTCAACGCGCATACCGATTTCGGAACGCTCACCATCGTCTTTCAGGATGCGGTTGGCGGACTCGAGGTGCACGACGGGCACATTTTCCGACCCATCCCGCCCGTACCCGGCGCTGTGGTCGTGAACGTCGGGGATATGCTCGAGCAATTGTCTAATGGGAGGTGGAAGAGCGCATTGCACCGCGTGGTCGCTCCGAAACAGCACGAGACCCCGGGCAGTGAGGGTCCCCGGGGCGAAAAGAGCGTGAAAGTGATAGACAGGTATTCACTAGTCTATTTTGGCGTGCCCAATCCCAATGAGGTGATCGAATCAGTCCGGGGCTGTGAAGTGCCGGGGACTTGGAAGCCGACCATGGATGGAGAATGGGGCACGCTTTCGGCCAGAGAATGGATTCAGAAACGACTCGCTGTTGAGTACTGAGACTAGTAACTGTACTCTTGTGTGGTAATCGCAAGAAGATTTCCCTCTTGAAGTATTGCAAAAAAAACGTGTGCGACATAAAAGGCCTTGCTTTCATTCGTTTTCCTTGGGGGAAATAAGTCAAACAAGTCGCTCAATACTCCTTGATCCTGCTGCCAGTTTTCCTGTTGCCGTCATTAGTCATTGTTACTCTCTTTGCATTACGACTGTACTCCATATTGCATCGGAAGATGGCTGCCGTTTCACATTATACGATGTTCGTCATGGACCCTTTCCTGCGATAGTACCAACTAACTGTCCCAAACATAGCCCCGAGTCCCTGAGTCTCGCTGGGAAGAACGCCATTGTGACCGGATCTTCTAGAGGCATCGGCAAGCAAGTTGTGCTCGAACTAGCCTCCCGCGGTGCAAACGTCGCCATCTGCTTCGTCTCGGATCTCAGCAGGCCGGCCGCAGATGAACTCGCCGTAGAGATCAGATCCAAAGGCGTTGCGGCAACATGTGTTCAGGAAGACCTCTCCCTGAATGGCTCGGGCCACCGTTTGGTGGAGAAAGCGCTTGCGGGGCTGAAAGCCGACACCATCCACATCTTGGTCAATAACGCAGCTCTTGATCCGGACTCACCAACCCCGGTACTCAAAAGTCCGGGGCAACTTTTTGATAGGTCCGTCAATATTATTGTTATCTGATGTATGCGTACGGCCGATGCTGAATTACACCCATGTCTTTCTGCAGATGCATGCAAGTCAACGCCAAAGCCCCCCTGGAGCTTGTCTCTGCCGTGGTGCCCAACCTGCCGCATGCCGGGGGTCGTATTATCAGCATGTGGGTATTCCAACGCGCCACTGTAGTGGAACTCACCGTGAGCGAATATTTCTCGCTAATGATCGGATCCGGGGTTCAATAGCTCTTCGGTGCTCGCGCGCCGACCGGACGTGCCCTTCGCAGCCTGGGCTTCATCCAAGGCCGCCCTCGAATGTCTGTCGCGATTCTGGGCCCAGGAACTAGCCGCTCTCCACGGACTGACCAGCAATGTCATCGCTATTGGCCCAACTATGACCGACTATCATGCTCAAGACCCGCCTGAAGTGCTTGAGGAGCTCTCTCGATTGCCCAGCGCCGCGAAACGCCTCGGAACGATTGACGACGTTGCACAGATTGTCGCTTTTCTAGCAAGCGACGCCAGCCGGTGGATCAACGGGGATGTAATTCAGGGCAACGGCGGCATGCAGTTTAGCTAGTCACGTGCAGATGCACGGCAATCTGTAGCTTCGGATCTGTCTTGCGCAGGAACCAGGCATACGTCCTCAGAGTCTGGACCCAAAGCTCTCACATTTGCCATCAGTCATTGCAGACCGCTTTAATTCTACGTGAGGGAGGGGGGGACTATGCAAAAAAAAAAAAAAAAAAAAAAAACACACACAAGAAAACAAGACTTCTGGCGGTACCGTCGTCGAACATAATAGGTCATGGAGCCGGAAACCCGACGTCATGAACCCCGAGCCAAGATGACAAGCATCACCATGTTTAAGAGGAATGCCCTGTTTACTAACTTTCGCATTATCCCACAAAGCTACATACAATTCATGATTACGTTGGGCATAACTCGAACAAACATCGTCAAATGGCCTCCCAAATCGCTCTTTCTTCCGAGCACACTGGCATCCTACGCGACGCTGATGTCTCGCCAGATGCTCTGAATGAAGCAAACCACCTTCTGCAAGTCAACCATGATAACTGGCATATCTTTTTCCGGGACGTGACTGGTCACAACCACACCGCGCACAGCATTCTGACGTGTTTGGCCCTGGGTGCCGACTCGAGCGATCTCCAGAGGGCATACGATGATACAGTGGATATTCAACGAACAAAACCAGAGATCAACGCAAAGGTTCTGCAGCAGCTCAACAAAGATGTAGAAAACCTGAGCGAATTATTGGGCACCTGCGATTTATATTCAACCTTTCTAGCTTTCTTTGAAGGCGAAATCAACAAGCACGGATGGAAACAAGTGGTCAACCGCTTTGTCTTCTCGCGCACCCCACTGGCTGAGAAGATGCTGATTAAGATGTACGAGGGCATGTATCATTCTCTCATCCACCTGGGACTAGGCGTCGAGTGGGGGCAGCCTGGAATCGTCGCCGAAGCCCTTGCACAAGCTGCAACCCACGAGGATGGCCATATCGGCGCACTCCTTTTTAGCAGCGAGATTCTGGCCAACGGCCAACCTCATCCAGAACAGTCGCCATCGCTCTTGGAGCTATCTCAACAGGTCCAGAACAACAAGGCCATCTTCACAGCCCCTAAGTGGGAAGACCGTTGGAACAGAATGAGGAACGGCGTCATGGACAATGCCGCAAGCGAACTCGCGCCTATCGCATCCCAATTTCGCATCCGCCCGGTAGACCTGGAGCGTCGCACCGCGGAGATGATCAGTTTTTCAGCTTACGTTGCCGGAGCCAGTCAGCGTCCCGCTAGGAAGCGCAAGATCGACTTCTTCCTCATGCATGTAGTCACTGGCTCCATCTTCTTCAGCATCTTCAACAAACAGGATTGGATCTCGATGGAAGACCGTCTGCGATTAGTAGAGTGGAAAGGACGACTGGACCTGGCCTTTTACGCATTTTGTCGCTGTCCCGACCTCTATAGCGAGGCAATTATAGAGTACTACGACGAATTCACCAAGGATATGGACTGGAAGCAGCTCTATGCTGCGGTGACCAAGGAGCACGACGACGGGCACGTGGCCAAGTTCATACGGGCGTTGAGGAACGGGGAAGAGTCTGCCAAAGCCTATGAGGGGGGTGCATGGAGTGCTAACTTTCCAGTCAAGGGGGACATGTGGTTGAAGTTGGCGCGCATGTCCCTCGGATCTACGCGGGGAATGACTGCAGAGCTGAAATGGATCATGGGCACGGGGTTCGACGAAGCTTGGAATAGACCTGACCTGAAGTAACGGGCAGAATGAGTGTTTTATGGCCAGGTGGATTCTTGGATGATACTGAGCCTTGGAGAGGCTGAGAACTTGCTGAAGGGACCGTATGCGTGCCGAATCAGGATATGAACTTGGTTTTTCAAGAAGGCTTGTCATTAGATAGTTCGGGAATAGCAAATGAAGAAAACACACCAGTGACCGGAGCGTGAAGTGATTTTTCAATCGTGGCTTGTGGGTCTTACATCAATGACCACCTACTGGTCTGCGAAGCATTGAGGATTGGCGAGTTGCATTGAAATGGAGAATTGATTTCAGAAGATGAGAAGCGGACGCCAGACCCTGAATAAGATATGATGGAGAAGGGCTATTCCAAGATTGTAACCCGTAATAAGGGACATGAACGCGGGCAATGTGTGATCAAGCCTCAATGCGCTTTTACTTACGATGAAAGTGGTTTTTGATGGAACCTGCGGGGCAACCACACGTTTCAAAGTTGTCAGAATATAATGCTAATAGCCTTGGTTCGAAGCGGACGAAGTCGAAGTTCCCCTCTATGATACACATTGGGAGTTCCTTCACTTTAATTTCTAGTTGTCATCTTACGATCTCTCTCAAGCAGGCCCCGGCGTTGGAAGGTAGGGGTGCGCGAACGGAAAGTAATGACGAAGTAAACCAGTCAAGATACACCAAGGCGTTCCAGATGGCAACTTCGCGCTTCCACCAGAATTGACAACGCTAACATTCCGCATATCGTACTGCCCACTCTCATCGTTCGCTGCTTCTAGCATCGCGGCCGCTAGGTCCAGATACGAGATGAAGGACTCTTCTCGATTCATATCTAACCTATGACCTCTCTGCTTGTCGACGGATAGGCCACCAGGCTTGATAAAAATGGTAGTGATCCTGTCGCCATGTGTCCGTAGAAACGCCTCGGTCTGCCGGAGGTCTTCGTATACATTTGATGCAGACCTGAGTAAAATGGCGCGGAGCCACACGGGTGTGTGCTTGGACAGGTGGTCTTCAATGGTCGCGGATGAAAGGAGGACGATCTTGGGCAGCTTCTCGCGCTGCGCAACATCATATGACCAAGACACGGCCTCGATCATGTTCAGGGCACCCACGATGCCCTTCGCTGTATCAAGACCGACATGACAATCCGGCACGTTCGTATTTGTGCTAACAACGTGGAACACGGCTCTGGCGCCTTGGATGCATTGCGCGAGGAGTTCGACGTCGTCAATGCTTCCCTCAAAGACCTCTACCCGTTTACTGTCGAGGACGTAGGGCGATGCTTTGAGCAACTTGTTCTTGTCGCGGCAAAAGGCTCGGATGTGGGCGGCAGGGTCTTGAGATAGTTGCTCAATTAGTGCCGTTCCTGTGTTCCCTGTTGCCCCTATAATGGCGTATGTAGGCATGGCTATGGATAGCTGGCGGGGCCTTGATAGCTAATGTGCTGAAATAAACTCAATGATTGAAACATGGAATGGCTTTAAGTCAAAGCAATGTACAGAACTGTTATAAGATCATACTACTGCTCTCCTTCCTTCGGGCATGCAAGGGTTGGGGGGAATTACAGTATAGTTAAAGCCCGGGGCCCGTCGTCAAGACGCTCTTCCCCGAAACCCGATTACCAATAAGGTACATCGAGGGCGTGGGGCCCACTAAGCACATAGATAGCCCTAGCTCTATTGAGAGGTATATAACTCGTATACGGATTATAAAATACTAAAGGGTAAGATTTAATATTAATCTTAATAAAAACTTAATTACGAACTTATAGTTTACTATAGCTAAATAGTAGGATAGCTAGAAGGTAGTATTATTAATAGCTAGGTGGACCTTTTTATTATTCTAATTAAATATATATTTATTTTAGATAGGCCTTTAATAAAAACTAATAATTACTTATTATAAGTCGGGTTTAGAATTCGAAAAATGAGGACTTCTAAATTTACTAGCTTCCTAAATACTATAGATTAGAACGAAGTTTAGGAATTCGGAAACCTCGTACTAATTAAAACGAACCTTATTAACTATAATAAAGTAAATATAAATAGCTCGGTTACTATATTAAATTTAATATTTATAAAATAAAAATAAAATATACTTATAATTAAGTTTTTATTTACGGGTATAATATATCCGGTTATAATATATTATTACTAAAGTTAATAAACGCTTACTATTCTTTTACTATAATTAAAACTATATATACTATTCGATACTATTATTTTTAAATATAAATATAATATTAAAATATTCCTTAAATTATATAAGTTTTATACTTCTACTTCTAACTTAATATATAGTACTATATATATTATCATTATAATTATAAATCCCGGGCTAGTTTTACTATTTTTTAACTAATTTTTATTAAAACTTTTATTACTATATAAAATTAATATTACTTAAAAACGAGATAGCTACGATTATTATTACTTTATTAATAAACGTAAATATTATAGTAAAACTCGTAGTTCTTATTACTACTTATTATTATAGCTCTTTTTATAAGCTTTTACTATAGTTATTATGATAATATTAATAATACTAATTAAGGTAGATAAAATTAAGAATATTTATAGAGTCTTTTAAAACCCTCTAGCTTTTATTTAAGCTCTAAGCTCGATTCTTTACGCAGAAATATTATCGTTACGAATTTTATTAATATTACTAACTTAAACGTAACCTAAACTAATTATTACGATCTAACGTAACCTAAACTAATTATTACGATCTTAATATTAACTTTAATTAATATCTAGTTTTATAAAATTTTATAAACGCTTTTAAAAATATAATAAAGTAGCGTTTATAATTTTAAACTCGCTATATTTAATTTTATTAATATTACTCTTAAATAGATATTATTTTTTTATAAAAACTTAAGTAAGTTTATGCTTATTTTATTAAAAGCCTAAGTAAAGAGCTTTTTAAAAATATTTTAAAAATTAATATTCTATTAATAAATAGCTTAGTATAAAGGGATAGTATTTAATTTAATAATTTAAAAGACATTAAGGTTAGTTATAAATTATAACTAAACGTAGTAATATTATTATTTTATCATCTTATTAATATTAAATAACTTTTAGTATTATAAATTATTCTATAAGCGAGCTTATTTTATTTATAATATATTAATAAAACTAAAGCTTAATTTAAGCTCGGCTTAGTTATTTTATTACGAGGTTTATTTAGGTTTATAGTATAAAAATTAAGTATAAAAAGCTAGTTTAATTACTAGTCCTAAAGTTTTTAAATTCTAATTATAGAATACGTTATTAAATTTTATAGTATATTTAAAGCTATTTAAAATGCCCTCGATTTATTTATATTATTACTTATTTAAAATAAAAATCGTTTTTAATAACCTCTACTTTACTATTTATAGTTCTTTTATAACTTAACTATCTAATTTAAAAGCTAGATAGATCTATATATTTAAGAACATACTATAAAAGGGGCTTAAGACTAAAAAAAATAATAATATATAATAAATAAATAGCTTATATAAAAGTCCTTTTTATACTATATAATAGTATATTAATAGACTTATATAAGTAAGTACTAATAATTTATTTAACTTATAAAGGGACGTTAGTTAAGAAATTAATTTTATATTAAAGGATCCTTTTTATACTATATTTAAAAGATAATAAAGTATTATAAGATATAATATATAAATATAAAAGGCCTCTAACTATAATAAGATTTATTTTAAAAAGTATAAAATTAATAAAAACGGTTAAGTAATATTTTTAAACTTTTATACTGCTTATTAAAAAATTATAACTAAGTTATATATCCTTTATATAGCTTAAAAGATTAATTATAATTATTATATAACTTAAACTACTAATAAACTAAGAACGCTATTTAAGTAATTTTTTTAAATATTATAAATAAGCGCGATTATTTTTTTATTAATATTATATAATATATATAATAAGCGAGTAAGCTAAATAAGTAAATAGGCTACTTAGCTACTATAGTACTACTTATATTATTATAATACGTATTTCTTTATTAAAAATAATAATAATATATAATAAAAATACTTAATTAAACTTAGTAATTTAAGCTATTTAAAAAACTAAAACTTTAGTATTCGGGCCGTAATAAAGATTTATAATATTAGCTATATTATTTTAAGTTATAAATTAAAAAAACGTTATTATAACGTAATAATATACTTAACTTATAAAATTTAATATTATTTAAAAAAAGTTAATTAAATATATTTTTAATTTAGATATTAAATCTTTTTTCCCGTTTTCGTAATATTAAAAATAATAAATTAATTACTTACTAATTATAATATGCTTTATATTAAAAAATAATAAGTTTTAAATTTTATAAAATAATAATTATAATTATAAATATATCGTGTTTATAAATAGAATTATAAAATATAATATTATAAATTTAAATATTTATAATTTTAATAAGACTAGTTTTATAATAAACTAAATTTTAATTAGTATAGTTATAACTAGTATTAAAAGTATTTAAATACGAAATTAATATAGTTTAGTAATTATAAATAAGTTATAATTATTTAAGCTATTAACTCTTTAAATTATAATATTCCGCTATATATTATTATTATAAATTAATATTATCTCTTTACTTAATATACAGAATTTAGTTTTTATATAATTAAATTATCGTAATATTAAAAATAAATAAATAATAAATAAAAAGGCCTAAATTAAGCTTAGTACTTTAAATAGTATATAAAACCGTATATAAAAATTAATATTATTTTTTATTATTAACGAATACGAAAATTATTATTTTACGGATTTTAAGTTTTTATAAAAAAATAATATTATAACTTTATATATATTAACTTATTTATTTTATTTATTTTAGCCTTTAGATATTAAATATTTTAAGTTTTTAAAAAGTTAAAAATTAAAAATAAAATACGTTAAAATAATATATATATTATTAAAAGGACTTCTTTTTATATGTATAAAGTTTTATATAAATAATTATAAAAGAAATATTTAAAAGGATTTAAAGGAATAGGGCTTATATTTTTAAATATAAAGAGTATATTTTAAAACTTAATATAAAATTATATATTTTAATATTTTTAAAATCCTTTTAATAATACTCCTAATATAAACTTTTAAATACTAAATAACTTAATTAAAATATCTTCGTAATTATAACTTATTAAAAATAGAATTACTTATTATTAAAATAGTTCCTTAATTTTAATTATTAAAATTATAAAATATTTATTTAAAGGGTCGTAAATTTATATATTAAATCGCTTTATTAAAATCTAAAAACTAAATTTTTTTAAAAAAATAACTTATTTAATTAATATTAAAAGCTAAAAAAACCGTTTTTAATAAAATAAAAGTCTTATTATAACTAAAAGAAAGGACTTTTAATTATAAAAAAAGGTTATAACCTAAATAAAAAAATATATTAAAATAGTAGTTATTAACTAAGGGTTAAAATGGGCTAATAATAATATAATATCTACGGGAATATTAATTATAATACGTAAATATATTAATTTAATAAAGAAATATCTAAAGAAAAGGGCTCTAAATAGTTTAGATTAAATATATAAAGTAGTTATTAATATTTATACTTTTATATTATATAATTATAGTTAGGTAGCTTACTCGCTTATTTAGCCTACTTACTTATTATATACGTTACTTAAATAACTAATTAAATAACTAATTAAGAAGTTTACTAATTAAAATACTACTTTAATAAGAACTTATTTTAAAAATACCCCTTAATAAGTCCCCCCCTCTAAGGCTCAATAAATTAGGCCCCCTTAACGCCCTAGCTATTATAACTAATATAAATATACCTAAAAATAGCGCAATACTTTTTAATAATATAAAATCTAGCTAAGTAATAATATAAATACTATAAATAGTTAAGTTAATATAAATACTAAAATTTAGTATATTAATACTAGCCTAAAAATTATATTTTATAGAGTTAGAAATCCCTTTAATACGGGCTATATTATAAATATAAAAACTATATAAAAGTCCCCTAACTTTTAATAAAAAGAATACGTAATATAAGATCTAACTATTTATATAAGCTAATATTAAGAAGTATTATATACGTTAAAGTAGGTATAACTCGCTCTATAAATAAGTAATAAAAAGTTAGGAGCTATTTTAGTTAGTAATTACACGGAGTATAATATACTTAGTTTTTTTAATACGTAATATATAGTATAGCCCGGCAAATTGCTTTATTAGGGGACGACTTAAGTTATATTTATAATACTCTAAATATATATACTAATTATTATAATTATAATAGGGCTATAACTAATTCTTTATTTATATTATTTTATAATAGAATTCTTAACCCTCTAGTATTTTTAATAACTTAATTCTTATCTTAAACTTAAAAA